AAGACTGGATACACTAAAAGTCCTAGAGGCAAACAGGCAGAACAAATACCCTTTTACATAAATTGCAACAATATTTCTTTCAATCTGGCTCCTAGAGTAATGAAAATAAAGTAAATAAGCAAATGGGACCTAATTAAACTTCAACACTTTTGCACAGAAAAGGAAACCCTAAGCAAAATGAAAAAGACAGCCTACAAAATGGGAGAAAATATTTGCAAGCAATGAGACCGACAAGGGATTAATTTCCAAAATATACAAGCAGCTCATACAGCTTAATATCAAAAAATAACAACCCAATCAAAAACTGGGCAGAAGACCTAAATAGACCTTTCTCTAAAGAAGACATACGGATGGCCAACAGACACATGAAAAGATGCTCAGTGTCACCAATTATTAGAGAAATGCAAATCAAAACTACCCTTAGGTACCACCTCACATCAGTCAGAATGGCCATCATTAAAAAGTCTACAAATAATGAATGCTGGAGAGGGTGCAGAGTAAAAGCAACCCTTCTATACTCTCTGTTGGTGGGAATATAGTTTGCTGCAGCCACTATGGAACAGTATGGAGGTTTCTTAAAAAACTAAAAATAGAGTCAGCATATGATCCAGCAATCCCACTCTTGGGCATATATCTGGAGAAAAGTCTAACTGGAGAATATACATGCACCCCAATGTTCACAGCAGCACTATGTACAACAGCCAAGACATGGAAGCAACCTAAGTGTCAATTGACAGATGAATGGATAAAGAAGATATGGTGTATATATATACAATGGAATACTACTCAGCCATAAAAGAATGAAATAATGCCATTTGCAGCAAAATGGATGAATGTAGAGATTATCATATTAAGTCAGACAGAGAAAGACAAATATCATATATCAGTTATATGTGAAACCTAAAAAAATGGTACAAATGAACTTATTTATAAACTGGAAATAGACTCACAGACATAGAAGACAAACTTATGGTTACCAAAGGGGAGAAGGGTCGGGGAGAGGGATAAACATTAGGAGTTTGGGATTAACATATACACACTACTATATATAAAATAGATAAACAAGGACCTATTACATAGCACAGGGAACTATATTCAGTGTCTTGTAATAACCTATAATGGAAAAGAATCTGAAAAAGAATATATATATATATGTATAACTGAATCACTTTGCTGTACACCTAAAATTGACACAAGATTGTAAATCAACAATACTTTAAAAAAAAGAAATGAAGAATAGTGAGTTAAATTACTTGTGCTTTGTAATATTCTTCTTAGCTGCGTAGTTATCTAATTTGGAGGATTTTTTTCACTTAGTCTTCCTTTGTTCACAAGCCCCCTCTCCATTCCCTTATTCACTGTAAATTAGATGCCTCCACCCCCATTCGTCCTCCTTTCCCCCTTTAAGCATGTGCCTCTTCCCCAGCTGTCCAACAGTACCTCGCCTTCTGGGCTCAGTCCTCCTTGGGCTCCCGCTGGAACCCTCTCCCTGTCTCCCACAGTCTCCTCTCTCCAAGGCGCTGCCCCGTACCTGAAGAGGGGCTGCTGCAAACAGCAGCTATTTGCGCTCGTCACAGGTAGAACCAGACTCATTAAGCCGTCGATTCCAGTCTCCTTGCAGTAGCCCTGCACAGAGCCACATGCCCAGGCTGGAGTTGCATAAATGGGCAGAAAGCCAGGCCCCTGTAGTAGAAATATGAGGGCTACAGGTGTGGGAAGGGAGCACACTAGAAAATCACTCAGAGTATGAAGACAACAGGGATTAAGCCAAGGGGCCGGGAGAAGCATCTGACTGGTCCTCAGCTGGGCCATGTGCCTTCTTGTCTGTTCCTCCTCAGCATCCTGGCAGCCCACATCGACTGAGCACCTACTGGGCACTGAGTACTGTTCTCAGCAGTTTGTATACATTGTCTCAGTTCATCATCACAAGAAACCTTCAAGTGTTGACACTACTGTCCTCATTTTAAGGCAGATAAATGGAAGAGCGGTTAAGTCCACAAAGCTAGAGAGCAGTGGAGACTGGATTTGGACTCAGGCTGCCTGGCTCCAGGGTACCGTGTTACATGCAAACACTGATGGTGATTTGGCTGCTGCAGCAGCAGGAGGGCACGGTGCTAAAGAAGCCCAGGGGGATGTCGGGGACAGAAGAAGAGGTGGCTCCTGGGCTGTCAGGAAGGGTGAGTAGGACTTCCCCAAGAAGTGAGGGCTGTGGGCCAGGAGGTGGCTGCAGGGCCATAAATGTAAAGACACAGGGTGTGCAAGGTCTTGGGGCCTTTGAGGTGTGAAGGAAGTTCCAACACAGCTGCAGAACAGTGTCCCAACCTCACATCTTCCACGAAATACATAGATGTACTCAAAGCCAAATACTAACAACAACTTAGGGGGAAACATAGAAGCAAAGTTAGCTGTTCTGTAACTGGATGTTGAAGGTTTTCCTAAGCAAGGTATGAAACCCAGAAATGGTAACAGAAAAGATGGGCACATTTGACTTCTTAAAAATTGAAACTTTCTGTGTGAGGAAAACCATTATCAGAGACAAAAGACAAGAGTGGCAGGGAGTTCTTCAGGTTATCTATTCAAAATCCTGCATTTCTTCCTTAGGAACAGAAGCCCTGTATCATTTAGGGAGATCGTGTGCTAAAGACAGCATTTCCCAGGCCATCTTGCACTTAGTGGTGCCCTTCCAATCAATGAGGCAGGTACTGTTACTAGCATTCCCATTTTTCAGAGATGGGACAGAATTTAGAGGTGTAGGCAACATGGCTTAGACCATCCTACTAACACCTGGGAGAGCAAACTCAGACAGTCTGTCATCAGCAAGATTTGCTTAATCCACCCTGACCCAGCATTCACTATGTGCCAGGCACTGTTCTAAGCATCTTACAAACACTACCTCATTTAATCTTCAGAACAATCATAAGTGCTGTAATATCTCCATTGTACTAGGAAAACTTAGTCACAAAGAGCTCAGTCACTTACCAGGCTCACACACCTGGTACGTCGTGGCCAGAGTTCAAGCCCAGGCTCCAAACCCTGCTCTCTTAGCCACCAGCTGGATTTCCTCTGAGCTCCTAGGTAAAGGAGCCACACTTACCAAGGGCTCAGAGTCCCATCCAATTTCTTGGCTTTCAGTCTGTGTCTCTGGGTATTTCTTCCTTGGTCCCTGGGCGGCATGGTGAATAAGATTTAGGAACCTGGCTGGGAGATGAGACATGAGTTAAGAAGGAGTCAGGCTTTGGGACCAACGGGAGATCCTGTGCCCCTGACTCTGCCACGTCCTCCCTTCGAGGGAGAGCACCGGCCTCAGAGCCCGCAGCACAGGTGTCTGGTTCCTCCACTCATCTCTCCACAAACATTTGTTGAGCACAAACTCTGTGGCAGGCACTGTTTGAGCCCTGGAGGTAGAGCAGAGTGAGACAGACATGGTCCCTGCTCTCCTGGAGGTGTGGTCCAGGTGAGAGGACAGGGGACATAATATACAAGTAGAAAAACAAACCTGATGGTGGCAGACAGCGATGCAAACTCTAAAGAGGTGGGGTAGACAAAGGGGCAGGTGGAGGCAGGGCTGGATTCTCAGGATGGTGAGGGGAGGACTCTCTGGATGCCATGCAGGAGCTAATCCTGAGAGAGGCAGACAAAAAGCCCCCACAGGCAGCAGAGCAAATGTCCCGGGGCACGAGCGAGTTTGGGCAATGGGGCTGCACAGAGAGGGGGAGGAGCTGGGCTGTAAGAAGTGAGCTCAAGTCCTTCTGAGTTGAAATAAGTATGGCTGCCAACACCAGGTATATTTGGAACTCCTCGGCTTAAGGGCTTCGTTCCATTTTCAATCCACCCTATCAAGTCTCGATTTGAGAGAGGCAGTCTGACAAGGGGAAGAAGCTGGCTTGTAGTCAGCCATTCCTGGCCCTTCCACTACTAGCTTGACAGGTGGTTTAACTTCTCTGGGCCTCACTTTGCTCATCTGTCAAATGGAAGGAAAAGATGCCTGAGAATGGAACGAAGGAATGTGAATGAAGGACCTGGCACTGGGCTGAGCTTGTCCTGAATATAAGGCGGCTGGTGATGAACTCCTGCCTGGTGTTCAAGACCCTCACCCCCTGTAATTTTCCTTATTGCTGCGAGGCCCCAGCTCCTACCCTTCACTCTAGCCGGGTGGGTGTCTTTACTCAGGTAACAACCGAATTCCTTGGATTGAGCTCTGTTAGTCTGTTCACTTGTCTGTACGATGCTAGGAGGTCCTCCCTCCTCCTGCCCACCCCCCACTTCCCACCCTGTCCTCTTACATAAATCCTACCTCCTTCTCTATCAAACTTCACTCTAAGAAGGTAGAGGGGGAGGAGGAGAGCTTGCCAGAAGGATCAGGCTTCCCGTCAACTATCTCCACTCCCTCACTCCCAGACATGGCCCCCGTCCGCCCGTGCATCACAGCCATGCCAAACGACTCCCAGTGCTTGGGCCATGCTGGTGCCTCTCACTTCTGTGCTTTCCCATATAACTCGGAATGTCCTTCCCCATTCTGCTACACCTGCCGTGCTCCACCTCGCCCTGACATTGCCTCCTCCAGGAAGACTTCCCAGAACTCCACTGCCTGACTGGGGCATCTGTCTTCCACGTTGCTGCCATCCCAAGCCTGCTTCCTGTTCACCTGTGTATTTGCTTGTCTGTCTCCTTGACTGTAGTGTGAGCTCCCCAGCCCCACCCTAGTGACGATCACGTGGTAACGATGAAAATAACATGTCCTCGTCACCAGGCACCAGATACTGTTCTAAGCACTTGCCGTGTTCTGTTTAATCCTCACAATGTCCCTAAGAGATAGGCTCCGAGAGGTTGAAAAACTTGCCCAAGTCACAGAGCCAGATTTGAACTCAGTCAGTAGGATCCCAGAACCTGTGCTTGTAACAGCTAAGCGTTGGATGGATGAATGAGCACAACGTCAGGGCCATTAGGAACCTGTTTTTTGCCTGGACGGTGAATAAACTGGCAGTTCGTTTGACTGCGTCAGCCTCTTGTGAGCTTCATTCCTATGAGTCCAGTTTTCAGACGATCAGAGGACTGAGCTTTCCCCAAGGAGACACGACCCTGAGAGGTCTCCCAGCCAGCTGCCCCTCTGTGCTCTGTCTCAGTGGCATTCTCAGTCCTGGACTTACCATCTGCAGGTTCCTCCAGGTTATCATGCCAGGACATGGGCTTTCTGGTGATTGTGTGAACTAGAGGGAAACAGCATCACAGGCTCACGTTAAAACCTCTCCTCCGTAAGCCAGGAAGAGAAAGAAAAATATCATGTATCACTCATATGTGGAATTTAAAATAAAAAAAAAAGGACACTATGAACTCATCTACAAAACAGAAACAGACTCTGAGACGTAGTAAACAATCTTATGGTTACTGGGGAAAGGGGGTGGGAGGGGATAAATTTGGGAGTTTGATATTTACAAATGCTAGCCACTATATATAAAAATAGATTTTAAAAAGCTTCTTCTATATAGCACAGGGAACTATGCTCAATATCTTGTAATAACCTTTAATGGAAAAAAATGGAAATGAATATATGTGTGTATATGCCAGACTGGGACATTGTGCTGTATGCCAGAAATTGACACGTTATAACTAACTGTACTTCAATGAAAGTAAAGGATACCGATAATGAAAAAGAATATGAAAATGAATATATGTATGTATATGCATGACTGAAACATTATGCTGTATACCCAAAATTGACACAATATTGTAAACGGACTATACGTCAATAAAAATTTTTTTAAATTAATAAATTTTTAAAATGTTAAAAATAAAAGAAAATTAAAAACCCCAAAAAACTATCTTCCTGGCCCCTCTAAGACTCACTTGCAGCTGGACACCCATCAGCATCTTCTGAGTGTCTTGTCACATGTTAGGTATTGTGCTGGGCCCTAGGGCATAAGACCTTCCAGGACCTGACAATCTGAGAGTCACTGTCCTGTCTGGTGGCCACCAGCCATTTGTGGTGATTTAAATTTGAACAATTATAATTTAATACAATTGAAAATTCATTCCTCAACTCCACCGGACACATTTCAAGTGTTCAACAGGTACATTTGGCTACTGGGTACCATTCAGGGCAGCACAGATCAAGAAAATTTTCATCATCTCAGAACGTTCTCTTGGACAGCACTGGTCTATAGGGATGCAGACGTACCAGGCAGCCAGAGATAGTGATATATGCCTAGGAGGCCATGCGGTAACAGAGGTGTAGGATCCACAGACATCTGTTCAGCTCGGAACTACTGGTGCACTGGAGACATGGCTGCAAACAAGACTGAGAAGATCCCTGTTCTCCCTGAGCTTCCACTCTGTAGTGACACTTGATAAACAGATCTATCATATCAGGCAAATATAAGTGAGTTGCAGAACTACATAAAGCAGGTTACATGGGTGCACCCATGTTGACGGTGGGGTTGGGGGTGTGGGTGATGTGCTTGTAAGGTGATATATTACAGAAGAGTCCTGAATAAATGTGCTATATGAAGATCCATGGGAAGAACTCAAGAGTGAGCTTGATGAATTAGAGAAACTGGGAAGCAGAGTAACTCAAGTGGCGGGAGCTTGGTGGAGAGTAGTAGTAAATGAGCGGAGGCCAGAAGGAACCAGTGGTGTTTTATCTCAAACTCCTACCAGTACAAAGCTTCTGTAAATGCATATTTAGTATTTATGTGCTATTGTCAATATATCAACAGAACATCCTTTCTTTCTTTATACATAAATATAGACATCTACATTCTACATTCGTAGAATGCAAGTTCTAATGTTTCCTCACTTACTCCCAATGGATCACATTAATCATATGCCCAAGGGACATGAACTGAGAGACCAGCCTTTTTCCTAGAAAACCTGAATGCCGCCTGAAGGGATTATTAAAATTGTTGAAATGGACCAAGTTTAAACAGAATTGGATGTTAATTTGTTTTCCTGAAATTAGTGTTTGGGGGCTCCAGAATAAAACCAGGTTGGTTATAAGCAAAATGAAGACCTTACATCTTCTCCACTCTCACCCCTCACCCCACCCCACCAAAAGGTGAGGAGATGGCTAAGCTACTTAGCTGACTGTTGTAATCATTTCAGTGTGTGTGTGTAAATGTATATCTAAGCATCATGTTGTACACCTTAACTATAGGCAAATTCTATTTAAAAAATGACATTACATTTCTTCTACATAGCTGGGCTGCAGCGGACTACAGTTAATCAGGTCCAGGATTAGGGGAGAAGTTCAGAAAGAAGGAACAACGTTTATGAAAGTGAAGAGGTGGGGAATGGCATGATGATTTAGAAAATTCATGTCTTTAGATACCGCTGGAGAGAAGGGAGCCCGTGGCTGATGCAGAATAGGCACTAAAATATTTATTAAAGGAACAGTGTGCAGGTGAAGAGGAGAGTCGGGAGGAAGCAGAGCAGCAGAGCCAGATCCACGGGGTCTTATGTACCTATCAGGTTAAATCTCATCTCAGAAGCTGCGGATTTTACAGAGGGACTGGATGATCGATTCCCCCTTCTGCACAGCTCTAGCCAGAAGTGGGTAGGGGAGGGTTGGAGGGTGGGCCTGGAGGAAAAGAGACTAGTTAGGAGCCCATCAGACCAACGCAGGCAGGAGCGAGGAGGGCCCTGCTGGGGCTGGGGAGTGAGGATGGACAGAGGGCAGTTCAGGCGCTACCTTGAGGGCAGAGGTAAGCGAGGAGAGATGGCGAGGCCTCCCCATGCATGACTGTGTCTCCCATGGAGACAGGAACAGGGGGACCATCAGGTGATAGAAGTGTTAAGGAAAGAACAGGACTGTGCCTACTCAGCTGTGTGGAGTGAGGGAGACTGAGGATGACTCCCAGGCTTCTAACTTGGCAGAGACAATGGCTGTGGTGCCCTTTGCTAAAACAAGGTATCTGTGGTAGCCGCAGCTGGGGTAGGGGTGCAGGATGAGCCTCGTTTTTTCACTGGGGAGTCTGAGGTATCTAACAGACGTCCAGGGGAAGAGAGTCGGGAGATCTGGCATTTAGCCAGAGGGGATGTTACAGGATGAGATGAAGCTGCCCCAGGAATGTGCAAAGTGATGAGAGAGAGGTGTGGCCATTTTACGGGGGTGAGGTGGGGGGGGTGGCGTGAGTCTCTTCCCCTGAACTTTCTGAAGATCTTATGACAGAATTAGAAGCCTGAAAAAACCCTTTAATTTATTAAAACAAACCAAAACACACACAAAACAAAACATAAAACCCTGCAAATATTTCAAAAGCAAAATTATAAAAAGACTTCAAGTTTTTACCATGAAAAATTTAATCGCGGCATGAGTGCAATTTAAGGCATCTAACATACTTGATGTGATGTGGACTGAGACCCCTCCACTCCCACCAAAGTCATAGTTCCTGAAGGCTAAGAACGGAGGTGAGATCAGAGGAGGCATCTTCTACAGTGCTCCACTCAGCCTCCCACCCCCACCCCCAACCCGGCATCCTTGTCTGCCCCTCTTTCCTCCGAGGCGCCCCCTCACCCTTGCGGAGTGGATTCACGTGATACTGCGTGTAGAGTTTCTGAGTTCGTAGCTCTTTGAGGTACAATTCCCGCAGGATCTGGTTCTGGTGGACCTCATCTGCGATCATCTCCTTCTGGCGTGCAGCCATGGCCTTGGTACAGCCGGGTCCGGACAATACCACCCTCCTCACTGCCCTCTCCTCTAGAGGCTCCTTAGTGTCCCGCCAACTGCTGTCTCCAGGCAACAGAGTCCCAAGCCGTCTCCAGGCAACGCGTCCTAGATTACCCCCCTCCCTTAGGCCTCACTCTTGCCCGCCCATCCTCCCGCCCCAAATCCTATAACGCGCGCCCCGCCCACTTTGGGCGCTCAACTCACCGTCGCAGTTTCTCAGGAGCTAGTCCCGTTACAGAACCCCCAGAAAAGAGCTCGCTGTCCAGTGACAGGCCTGGGAGGTGATGGATTTAGGATCGGACCTTCCCTTGGCCAGCCATTTCCTAAAAAAGATTTTGGAAGGAGTCAGAAACCTCTCCCATTTTAAAGCGGATGCCCAGAAGTGAGACCTCTATGTCAGTCTCATAAAACATCAGAGGTGTCCTACCTGAGAAGCCATCCTAGCCCATATCCCTCATGCGATAATATGGACAGAATAACCCTGTCCTAACCCTGAAAGCAACTTCGGGACTTGTTCATTTATTTATATTTTTAATTGTGCTAAAATACACGTAAAATTTACCATATGAACCATTTTTAAGCATGTAGTTCAGTAGTGTGAAGTACAGTCACATTGTGTGAAACCAATCTCCAGAATGTTTTTATACCCATTAAACAACAGCTCCCCAATACCACCCACCCCCACCCCAGCCCTGGCAGCCTCCATTTTACCTTTTCTGTGAATCTGATGAGTCTAGGTACCTCATATAGTACAGCTTCTCTTAAAAGAGCAAAAAGTTGGCCTGACATAAAGGAAGCAGGCGGCTGTGGTTTTTAGGAAGCACCTAAACACTGACTCCAGATTCTGTGCTCTTCCCCACTGTGTACTCCCTCCCTCCCTCCCTCCATCCATCCGCCCACCCATCCATCCATCCATCCATCCATCCATCCATCCATCCATCCAGGATAGTGTGTTCGTGTGTTTAGGTCTGGGGGCACAGTGTAGAACATGTCAGTTGGGTGGACATATCTGCAGCTTTCTGAGCCCAGCAAGTTACTTCATGACTCCTTGCTTTAGCTCCTGCTGTTTCTTCTCCTTAGCCTGGGAGTCTCCTTCCCCTGTAGTCTGTCTGGGGAACACCTACCCAATGTTTATCACATGTAAGCTCACATGTAATCTTTTTTCAAAGACCTTTCTATACTCTACAGCCCCTAGTCACATTTTTCTTTGTGCCATGCTCAGCCTCAAATCTGTAGTCCAAAAATACTTTACTAAACTTATTTGTATAGAAGTTAGTTACTTGAGAACAAGCAATGTATCTTGTCCATCTCTGGATTACCAGTGGCTGGCACAGTATGTACAGATGTATTTGGTAAATGTTTGCTTGCTGACTGGATGCCCAACCAGATGACACTGTGATTTTCCTCTGCTTCCGTCATTACATAAACCCTTAGATCATGCAGAAATGCAAATAGAGTTCATTACACCTAGAGAAGTGCCTATGGTACTTGTCATTGTGAGCCATGCCTGGGTCCCTTTTTCTAGCAAGAATCAAACCGCCTCCTAAAGTCTTCACTACCTTCATGAGGATGAGAAGAAAATGAACCATCAAGCAGATGAGTCCTATAATTGCCCAAATTTCTGCCTGGAGGCACTTTCTCAAGTGTGCAGGAAATAGAAACCCAGGCTGAGCATGGTAATTTTGCTTGGCTGAGGAGACACAGATTGAGGTTCGGGCAGTGTGAGGCAATTGAAACTTCTGCGGAGCAGTAAACTGGAGAGTGTGTGAAAAGAGGAAGGAAAGGCTGATTGGAGGGAGGGAGAGGAAGATAGAGAGCAAGTGAGAGAGAAACCCAAAATGTGCAAGGAATCCCCTGGAGTTTGCTGCCTGTGAATTAGCGGGCTGAAACTCCATGGAAGAATGACTGGGACGTTGTAAGCTGAGCAATTACTGGAGCTTGTACAGGACTAAAAGAAAAGTGAGTTCTGACCAGGCAGAGTAGAGGCATTTAGTAGAGACCTCCAAGAGTTTACATCCTGGTAACAGTACTAAACTAGCCTTATAGAAAAGGCTACTCTAGTTTTACCCTAGCACAGCTAAAACACAACTTTAAAAGTATTAAATTGATCCAGAGGTAGCCAAACTGACTGCCAGAAAAATTTCCAACACTTTTAAAGCAAGACGATAAAGTCCAGCATTCAACAATATAACATTCACAGTGGACAGCCTCAGTTAAAAACAGTAAGAAAAAGCAAACCATTGAAGAAGTAAGAAGGTGTGACCCACAGCCAGGATTAAAAATCAAATAGAAATAGAAGCAAAAATGATTGAGATCAAGGAAATGAAACTTCAAGGCCCTCAAATAGCTACTATTTATTTGTTAAAGGATTTAAAGGAAAATATGAAATGACAAGAAAAATGGAAGATATAAAAAAGAAACAAATGAGAATTTTGGAGATGAAAAATATATGAAACAAAAATTTCACTGGGTGGAATTGATAGCCTATTAGATGCTGGAGAAGAAAATGTCAGTGAATATGAAGATACTTCAATAGAACCATCCAGACTGAAGAATAGAGAGAAAAAGATAACAAAAATAAACAGAGCCTCAATGACCTGTGGATAGGTAAATGTTCAAAACATGCTTTACTGGAAGCTCAGAAAGAGAGACGTTGAGGAACATGAAAATATTTGAAGAATTAATGGTGAATAACTTCCAAATTTGGTGAAAACCAAAAATTCATGGATGCAAGAACTTCAGCATAGCCCAAGTAGGATGAATTTAAAGAAACCCACGCCAAAGCACATTACAATCAAATTGCTAAAAACCAGTGATAAAAGCTTCAAGAGGGGATAAAAGAGATTATGTGCAGAGTAGCAAGTATAACATACACAGACCTCCCATCAGAACTATGCAAACGTGAAGCCAATAGAACTTTATCAAAGTGTTGAATGTATGTCAGCCTCCATCCTATAATTGGTGAAAATTTGCTTTAAGAATAAAGGTAGAATAAGGAATTTTGTGATTATACCATAATTCAATCATTTGTTTTGCTACTGATGAACATTGGATTGCTTCAATATGGACTATAACAAATCATGCTGTATGAACATTATTGTAGCTGTCTCTTGGTGCACACGTGCAAACATTTTGTTGGATATATACTTAGAAGTGAAATTGCTGGATTATAGGGCATGTCTAGGGTTCAGTTTTAGTAGATGGCATCAAGCTGTTTTCCAAAATAGTGAAACTGATTTACTCTACCACTAGGGTTCTTATTGCTCCACATCTTTGCCAGTTCTTGATATTGCCAGTCTTTTAAATTATGGCCATTCTGGTGGGTATGGAGTGGCACCTCAATATGGCTTTAATTTATATTTTCTTATTTCCCAACTTTTTTGGTATGTTTGTTGGTCATCTGAAAAGCCTCCTTTGTAAAGTGACAGTTCCAAATGCTTTCCTATTTTTCTTTTGGGTTGTTTCTCTTTTCTTTACCAATTTGTTGGAGTTCTTCTTATATTGTTGATATAAGAAAATATTGATATTTATATTTCCACTATGTGGCTTGCCTTTTTTAATCTTTTTGTTGACTTAAGGCACTTAAGACTGTCTTTTTAAAATTACACATGATCAAATATATCAGTCTTTTCCTTTGTGATTAGTTCTTTTAATATCACTTAAGAAATTTTTTCCTGATTGTACATTGTGAAGATATTTTCTTATATTACCTTCTAGATCAGTGCAGTCTAATAAAATGAAGCAAATCACAATTTATAATGTTCTAGTATCTAAAAGAGCAAAAAGAAACATAAAAATTTAAAATGTTTTGCCTAACCCAATATATTCAAATTATTATCATTTCAGCATTTCAATATAAAAATTATTATAATATTTTATTGTTTTTTCATAGTAAGTGTTTAAAATCCAGTACAGATGTTACATTTAATAGCACATCTCAAGTGATTAATAGCCAAGTATGACCATAGCAACTCTAGAAGGTTTATGTTGTTTCCTTTTCATTTTAGATCTATACGCTACCTGAAGCTGATTTTTGAGTGTAGTGTGAGGTAGGAATCTAGCTTAGTTATTTTGCATAAGACTACCCAGTTGACCTCGAATCAATTTATTGAAAAGATAGTCCTATCCCCACTTTTCTTCTATGATACTTTTGTCTCAGATCAAGTGTCCATATATGTGTGAATCTGTTTCTGGACTCTATTCTGTGCTAATTGTCCATTTGCCTATGTTTGCACCAATACTCCACTATCTTATTACTGTAACTTTTGTAATAACTTCTGATGTCTGATAGGAAAATTTTTCCTACCAATTCCTGGCTATTCTTGGCCCTTTGCCTTTCTATATAAATTACTTGTCAAGTTCTCCCAACATATCTGTTAGGATTTTGATTGGCATCTGAAGAGGATTGATAAGATGAGGATGAAGGCAAATGCAGATGGTAGTAAGATGACCTGGGCCTGGTCATGGCTGAAAACACCATCGTGGAAAAGGAATCCTGTAAAGATCTGAGCTTACCTTGAAGCCGAATGTTGTTTGGCCATCATCTTGAATTCTCCAGTTCCCCCTGGTAAGGCTTCTGGGAACCCACAATCCTGGCAATTTTGAATAGCACCAGCTCTGTCCCAGTAGTAGGGAAACTGTCTCTCCAGGATGAGTAGTGAATCACCAGGTCTTTTTGGGAGTGGCTGGAGTATTGGCGAAGACCAGAGTTCAAGAGACTAGAAAGAAGGGCTAGGAGGAGGAATAGGGGCACAGATAAAGGAGTAACAGGAAAGGGGAGCCAGATGATTAGGGCAGCAAGTAGACGGTCTGAAAGGGACAGGGGAAGAACTGGACATGGAAGTCATTAAGATAGGGTGGCAGGAAGGGATGACACTAGACAGAGAAGGGAACTGTGTAGGGCTGAAGTCTGAAAGAGGCGGATGGAGCTAGGGAGTAGGCCGAGGGCTAAAATACTGAGGAGATAGGGGAGGAAGGTGTGTTGGATAATAAGAGCAAGAAGAAATAGAAAGAGGAGGTGGAGGCTGGGACTGCAATGAGGAAATTGGAGGTAGCTTTCTTGTCATTT